GCCGGTGGCAGGGAGGGCGGCCTGGGCGCGCTGACCCCCCCATCGGCGAGGAGGCCGGAGGGGTGTCCAGCAGAGCCGTGCTTGGCACAGGGTGGACGTTATCCAAAGTAAACGGCAAAGGGTAAACTGGGACCTCAACGTGCTCATTTTTGTTAGATTTAAGGCACGTGAACTCTGTGGCACGAGCGACTTCCTTCTCACATTTATTCAGCGCTTGGGGTGGGAGGACAGCGACATTGGGGAACTGCTAAAATACCAGTGATAAGTAACAGTTTCGTGGCAGATTTCCCGAGGTGCTGGCTAAAACCCATTCACTTTTTTTTTTTTTTTTTTCTTATTTATTGCTAGACTGCTGTTCAGCCAGTTTCAATCATGGAGCAGATAAGCACTAGGGCCACTGTAAAGGGAAAGCCTAAGAGGGAGAAAGAGTCTGCAGCAGCAGCACCGGCTTAGACAGGCTTACACTGACTTACTCTCGGAGCGTCCCACCTGCCTCCTAGAGAAGTTTACCTGCCGAGTTACGTGATGGAGAAGCTGGTTTTCACTCCTGCGAGCAGTAACCTCCATCCTAACATCAGCCATGTGAGCTTGGCCGTAAAGCCTCTTCATTGGGCTAAAACAAAGTTTTGTTGTCTAATTTTGTGGGAAGACGTGTGCATGTTTCTGTGTGCTTCCTTGATAAACTGCATCACGACCCAAAGGTACAAACTGGGGGTAATTCTGTCAAAACCAATAGAATTGTTTCAGATTTACATTATTTTAGAGGAGAATCTGCCTTACTAACTTGAACAGATACAGAGAGAGTGATCCTTTCACCACTACAGATGAATTTGCGTCCTTTCCTTTGGCTGTATGTCCAACATACTGATAAATTTTAAAACTCATTTAAAACTCCAATACTTGCCTATCCTGCAATATGACTCTTGGAAATTGCCTCTGAGAAGAGAGAACTAGAGATCTTGCATCTGTGCTGACTTTATGCCTATGACCGACTCCTGTTCAGAGTAAAGGTGTGTGTTTCGATATTAATTTAAGTCTTTCAGCTATTGTTTTGATACTTCTCAGATGTTGTAAGTACTTCCACTACCCTTTTTATTCACAGTTAATTTTCTTCTGCTTGACAAGCCGGTAATGTATGTGTGGCTGCAGCTATGCGAGACCCCTTGGCAATAAGATTAAAGGTGATTTGTATTATGGGACAAAGGATGTCAGGCAAAAAATGTCAGGTATTTTTTATTCAGGTTATTTTTCTTCTATTTTCATCATGCCCCTTTTCTGGCAAGAAGCAGCTATAAGCTCGGTGGGGTTTTTTTTTCATTTGTTTTCTTTGTTAACTTGTCCTACACATTTAGTAAGAAAGAAAAATGTATTAGGATTTTCTGAGACTGTAAGTAGGACCAAAGTAGATGTGTCTCTTATGCTGGACCTCTGTGGAGACCTCACCAACATTTCATATGATCATGGTGGCAAAATTGGCTGGTGAAGAAAGTCCTCAACAATAGGAAGACTAAAGGGCTTGTTCTCTTGATGTGTCTGTATTGTGACAGCTATATGACTGGACATAACATTAATATCAAACAAGTAATGTAGCATATCATAACAAAAATTCTTTAGATACAGTATGCCGAGAGCCTGTAATAAATAACAATCAATATTACTGAACAGTTAATATTACAATTCGTTATTTGTGTTAGTGTAGCACCTCTGCACCCTAATAATGGGCCACAGCTGCAGTTAGCAAGGTGCAGTACAATCCAGACAAGGAGATTGTATGGCTTAAGCATGAAGAAACAGCACATGCCAGGTAATCAAGGTGCAAAGGAAAAAAAAAGACAGGGGGCTGATGCTGGTTAGAGCAATAGGTGATGGTCCTACCGCATCGTTAGCCTACCATGGCATTACTGCGTTGCGTTATGCTACTGTTTGGAAAACTATTTCTGACCGTGTGTAGCAGCTGTGTCATGACACAGACAGGGTATCTGAGGGAAGGCCTGGCATTTGATCTTTACTTTGATATCTCCTGACAATTTACACAAGCTGAGGACATGCCCCAGGATATTTTTGGTTTAACGTTGTCTAAACACAAGAGCTTTTATAATTAATTTCCTCAGCTTGTCTTGAAACAAAAACAGGGAGGACTTTAAGCCCTGATGGGTATCCAGCTCTGCAGCACATTTGCGAGGGGTGGGGAGGGTGCTGGTCCTGTGCTCCTCCGGACTTCTGCAGAGAAAGCTGCAAAGTGGTATTTTCTCCAGGAGAAGAATTTAATCTGCTCAGCGTGGAGGGCTGGGCCTTCTGAGCTTTCGGCCTCTACGAAACAGCTAATCACAGGCCCACAATTTCTAGCCTTTTAAGCGCCTATATGCTCCTGGACCATATTTGGGCAATAAAGGTAGTGCAGAACTCGAGAACGCTGCAGATCTGATCCTCTCCAAAGCTCCGGCCTTGCTGGAGATACTGTGCTGCGCAGGGCCAGCGTGTCGTTTTTGCACGGCTCCTAAGCAACCCGAGTAAATAGAACATTTCGCAACCTTAACCACAGCGGTTGCTACACTTTCATCTATAATTATCTTTTGCATCAGAGCTCTCAAGAGCAACCGGCCTACCAGATTTTGCAGGATATTTTGCATTCAGCTTCAGTTTCTCTGCCTTTTCTCTTGCATGGCCAGTCAGGATAATATTCCCCAGACAAGAGGAGAAACATAAATACCCTGCAGTCTAGAGGAACGTGCAATATGCTGTAAGCCAAGAAATGTTAGCTCGCAGCCTCGCTCTTCTGATTGCTGTTTATATTCTGCACGCTTCAGAGCTTTGTTATTTGAACAAGGCCTTATAACTTGCCCCAAAAGGCAGCCAAATATAATTCTTGGTGTTCGGGAAACCTAACACACAAATTATATTTAGGAAAAGAGCGTATGACTCCAGTAGAACGAACTAAGACTCTTCCCCTCCTCCCTTCAGTGTTTCTCAGAATTAATGTCAAAACCGTAGCTTGGCGATCCTGGTAGAACGTCTGTTCTAGGCACTGGATCACACTTCATTTCTAAGCCAAGAATAGAGCCCAGCATTCTTGATCGTCGACGTCCTATTTCTGGTCGTGCAGCCTCCTAGCAAAGCGTGTGCCTAATCCCGCTCTAGGTGGGGATCTTCGTAAGGCCCAGGCTCGTTCCTCCGGTTCCAGAACTGGGGACCTTCGGGATCTGAAGCCCGAGATGCTCGTTGCACTGAGGGGCTGAAGACACAAGTATCTGTACTCTGCCCAGGTCTTCGCTGCAGTGATCTTTGGATTTCTGACAAAAAAATCTGGTTTTTATGCTTTTTCACTGAACTTCGAATTCAGCATCAAAACTTCCTCAGAGCAGGGTTCAGCGCTTCAAAGAAACGAACGAAGCCTCGCTAGCTAGTAGTACAGCAAGTCACACAACAAAACATGATTTAATATGTCCTGACTGCTTGATGTGTAAATCAAGTTATTTGAGTTAAAGAGCGGCAGCTTTTCAAGTTCAGAGGTGTATGTTAACGACATAGTTCTGGTTGTGAAATACATGCTCAATGCGTAGAAGAAAAGCGAGGCAGCGTTCACCAGCCTTGTAGTCCAAAGACTGGAAGTTTGCATACAGGGCGAAGATGCAATTACACATGCTAATGCCTGGGGCGCAAGCCCGATGAAAGCAGGGCTAACCGCCCCGGGACTGGACGTGGCGTTGCTCTGAAGCCGTGGCTTTAGGTACAGGTCCGCAACAGCGCAGGTTAATGAAATCGCAGTGCCAGGCTGTCCTCCTCGGGAGCAGCGGGGTGAATTCTTCTCGTGCCCTTCGAGTGCCTGTTTGGCCACCTGCGAGGATGAGTTTTATACATTGCGTGCTCACACAGTTTGGATTGTTTCTAAATTGTCCGTATCCATTATTGTTAGCGTCAACAATATGCTAAATGACGTACAAATTGGCACGATGACAGCTTTGCTATCTGAGAGAGCTTGTGGCTGGGCTGCTACTCCACAAGACTTTTTGACACAGCACAATGGCAGACTCTGCTGCTTAATCTCTCTCCAAGGCAGGGAGAACTGAGGTCACCGGCCAGAATAGCGGCTCCATCCCAGCGCTTGAGTTACTGTTAATTTAAGCAGAGCTGGCACTGTTGTACCTTGCTCCTTCTTTCTGTTCATTCCGTGTGACTTCTGAAATGACCCGTGGGGAAACCAGGCTGATAGAAAGCACCATGTAAACAGCAAAGCTGTTTCTTATTCGCAGGCATTAGGATTTAAAAGTAAATTCGCGTTTTTGTAACCTGGTGAGATCACCGTGCTAGTTTAGTACAAAATGCTAAAAATCCTTAGGCATTTTACTATAGAGTTGTGAAAGAGGCAGTGCTTTTCTGAATATATTTTTGCTGTATTGGAGACTAAATGATCGTGAGATCATTCAAGATGCATGTTTTCAAGTACACATTGGACCGAATATGGACAGCATGAATTTCAATCAACGATTGCCCTGGGAATGCTAAAACCGTTGGAAGAAGGACACTAAATGATCGGCTTCTTCCTGTTTAGGAAAGCTGAAACATTGGTGAGAGGACAATAACATGATAATATTTTTCATGACTTACGTCCCGGTGTGGATTTTAACAACAGCAAAGGATGCGAAACCTCAAATTACTGAATTTTCGTATGTGCACAAGTAGGCAAACACCGATTTTTGTATCTGTTTGAACAGGCAAGAGGTCACACCTGTATTCAGCATCTGCATGTCAGCACGAGCAGCCACGGGAGAGACCGGCGGTTTGTTCGCAGTCGAATAGAGCTGCCCTTGTAAAACCACCAGGGTCTCAGCCCCGCGGGTTATTTTCCCTACTTAAGTGGCTCTCCCTGCTCTTGTTCCTGCCTGCGTCCTGGCCAGGGAGAGGTGAGCTGGCAGCCCGAGCCTGTCCTCGCTGCCAAGCCCAGAGAGTTCAGCTGTATTTTAGCGCGTTTCGTAGAGCTGGAGGAGGAAAAGAAGGAAGCTGTTCCGAGACTGGTACTCTAGAAATCAGCTGGAGAAGGCAGGGTCTACAGCCCCGGCTCGCCTGCTCCACACGGGGAGATGAACGCACTCTGGAGACGGCTGGAGGACTTGGGAATTTGCTTGGGTGGCCGTCGGCGTGTCCCCGGAAGCCACAATATGCCGCAAAAAATGCTTTACGATCTCATTACCCTCCAATAGACAAAACAGAGAAATGAAACTTCTTTTTTTTTTTCCTTGTTAATGGCCGACAAAGCGTTAATTACCATACCGCATACCATTAAAAGTCTTGGAGCCCTTGTCTTCAAGCCCTTACCGTGAAAAAACAAGCGTAAACTAGAAATGTTGCCCATTTAGTTATGGGTGAAATTTTTGGTGGCATTTCTGTGGCAAAACCCCCAAACTCTATAGTGTAAACAGGGCAGTATAAAGCTGTTTTATTTTTTCACATGCCTTGCTGGCAAAATCGACATTTTCCCTTGTTACCATCTCCATCCACTGGGCATGGCTGCCACCACGGCTGTTCCAGCAGGCGCTTCCACGGCGGATCTGTCCGTAGGTTCTGAAGCAGACATGTATGCGTTAAATTTTAACCATGTATTAATATTTGCAGGGTCAAGGCCTCGGTGAGACTTGCGAAGAAGACGAGACATAGTGGTAAATCTAACGGCAGGAATTCACTTTGGAATTAAGAGAAGAATTGGATCCGTTCCTGCTGGGTTCCTGTATGATGTTGGCACTTGGAAGGCAGTTTATTCACGTAGGAAGACAAATCTGGGCAAGGCAACAATGAAATCTACTTAACCCAGCGAGCAAGCATGACTAAGAGGGATCTTTCTCCCCAGTACTGTTTCCTTCTATCTTCTGGGTCATCCCTTTTTCCTCTTTCTCCTCATTTTCCCCATCGCGCTCCCTCCCTTCTCCTCCGCACTGACCCCCACCTCCCCGGACACCGTGGAGCACGTCACCCCAACGTTA